ACATATGGCCTTGGGTTAAAATTAATGTGTCAGTGCCTGCGGAGAGTTCAAGGCCAACTGAGACTGCATATTGGTTAATAAAGTGTAACAAACATATCATACTAATATAAGATCTTAATAATAGGAAAAACTGAATATGTGTACTATCTATATTTTTCCCTAGAAAGTTCTTATAAATCTATTCCAAATTTTTTTTAAATCATTAAAGGAAAAAAATCCTTCATTCCTGAGAGAATACTTTTGTTTTTTGAGATAGGGTCTCACTGTGTAGTTGAGACTGACCTGGAGCTCACTATGTAGCCCAGGCTGGTCTTAAACTCACAGAAATCCTCCTGCCTCAGCCTTCCAAGTGCTGGGATTACAGGTGTGTGCCACCATGCCTGGTGGTATTTTCTCATGGTACTGAGGAGTGGACACAGGGCTTTTGCACTGAGCTGCAAAACAAACCCTTTTTATTTTTTATTTTGAGACAGGATCTCGCTAAATCGGTAAGTTGCTCAGGCTGAGCTAGAACTTGTAGTCTTTTTGCCTCAGCCTCTCAGAATGTTGGGGTCATAGGCATGCCTTCCTATGCCTGGCAATTTTAAAAACGTAATCACTTACATAGCTTTTGAGTAGGGCAAGGTGATGCACCCTTTTAATCCAAAATGAGATGAAACAGAAAGGACTGGGCATGCAGCTCAGAGGTTAGAGCACTTGCATAGCATGATTCCCTGTACTGAAAAGAATTATTTAATTTCTCTATTGAGTCAATTCCCACATGTAACTAGCACAGACAGACAATGAATTAAATTAAGAGGTAAAGATAGGGGAACGTATTTTCTTGTTGGACAATTATTTTGACAACTGCAACCTTGCCAGGGTCTCCTTATACAGCTGAGGAAGTGCAGGATTCTATCTCCTAACAGCTTTAACTCTGTGCCTGGCCTGGACTCAGTCACCAAGCACAGAATAGATTGGGAGTTGGGTTTTTTTGCCTGCCTGTAGCAGAGTGATGCACCAGTCTTTTGGGAGGCAAAATTTCAGCTCTGAAACTGCAGGAGTAAGTGATATTTTTAGAATGATCATATATATGGTATAAGTGAAGTTAAACAGGCAGGAAAACAATTGTATCAATAGGGTATTCATGTTTATCTGCACCTGGATTTCCATATCATCACTTATTACTGACAGGAGAATTGAGCTGATATTGGTCATATTAATCTTTGTCACTTTTCCATCAGTTTAGAGGCACATAATGAAAACAAAATGTTGATTATAATAAATCATTTTTGTATTGCCCTGTAATAGAATTTGAAGTAGTAATGCAGTTTCACATATATTTATTGTTTTTTAATGTAAAACTTGGCATTGTAACCAAAGTCTGCAAAATGAAACGTTAAAAGTTAAGAGTTTTTTCCTTTAGAGACAAATGGCTTCTCCAAACTTCCTCAGGCCTAGGGTGCCAAAAGCTCCCCCATCTCTCCTCAGCCCAGATGAATGGGCAGAATATGCAGGTGCTGACAGCAGGAGTCAAGCCCAATTTCATTTCCATAGACAAGAGAGGAAGAGGTCTGTGTCACGGAAGGAATGGTTCGAGCCTGCTCACATCTGCTGTTTCACCGTGTTCCCTGTCCTGCTGTTCCATGGCATAAAAGACCCCATGCACCTGTATAAAGCAAGACTGATTTGAGATAAGCGAGCCTCTCCACCTCCTCAGAGCTAGCTCTAAATAAATGTGCTTTTCTTTTTACCAAAATAAATGGTTTCCTTTGATTTGGTCAGCAGGGAACAAACTAAGTGGCTGGTAACCAACTGGGGCTCAGTCTGAGCACTCTCCTCCTGTTGTGCCGTGCAGAGGCTTGGGCAACCCAGAGTCTCAACCACCAGTCACTCGCTGTACTGATCACTGCTAGTAGGTACATGTGCTGCCATTGCTCCGGGGTTGCTACTGAGGTCCTGCATTCTGACTTCAGACCCCTGCCTGGGCTGTCACCTTCTCACTTTGCCTACTGAGACTGAGAGAATCTGTCCCACTGCCAACCCTCTCCAACAGCACCCCTCATCTTCAGTCTATTGAAAGGGAGACCAGTAAGGAAAGAGGCACCAAGGTGGCTGAAGAAGCTATTCTTGGTCTTCTCAAAAGGGCTTCTCTTCCTGTGGCCAAAGGAGGAGGATCTTTCGGGGGTCCTTTGTTACAAGTGAAGGTTTAGTTCATTGTGGTATGCACACCTGTTGCCTAGGCTACTTGGGAGGCTGAGGCAGGATTGCTTGGACCCAAGAGTTCAGGGTCAGCCTGTGCTTTGCACATAGGAGGTAAATGTTCTACCACAGAACTACAATCTTTTTTTTTTTCCTTCCTTCCTTACCTGTTTCCTTTCTTTCTCTTCTTTTAAGACAGGGTCTTGCTAAATTGCCTAGGCTGTTCTTGAATTTGTCATCTTCCCACCTCCGGCTCTCAAGTCACTGGGATTACAAATGTGTGTGATCATGCTTGGCTATGAGGTAGATATTTTCATACTCCTTTTTAATAGATGGAAAGCTTAATCACTTGTATGGGGTTATGACAAAAAGAGGGAGAAGATAGACAAGAAGATATGATGAAAGAGAGGAATATCATTGCCACATTCTTTGTACCGTAACATACAAAAATTCATAAGGGAGGAGTTCACTACAGTAACTATGGAACTTTACCATGAGGCACTGCACACATTAAAGAATGAATAAAAAATGAATGAATATAAAACATTAGAATAATATCAAGCATAGCTTGTACACAGTGAAAAAAAAAAAGAATGAATGAATGAATATCCATATGATGATCACTAGGGTTTTGTGGTAGAACAAATGAAGAAAGTGATGATAACAGAAATAGTAGCAATGAACTAGAGCAAGACATTTGTGGCTTTTCTGAATTGGCCTTTAAACACCAAGGATTGTCTGGACATAGAACAGTTTTGCACACAACTGGGAAGGGTGTTAGGTGCCAGGCATGTTTCTTTTGCACATCTGCAGGCCCTCTTTGCTCATCCATGTGCTCAGTGCTACTCCTGATCACTCTGTGGTTCCTTTTCTGTAGTTCAAATCTCTTCTGATTCTCACCCCTTAACCTTTCCGTTCTGTGTCTGCTCCTGCCCACAATGGCAACCACCCAACACTGTGGCAAACCCACTCTCACCCACAAGTGGGTATTTCAAAGGTTCCTCTTATGCCTTAGTCTCTCTTTTGAAGCCATCACTTCCCTCAAGTTTCTATCATCATTGCATCCCAAACTCTGCAGGGTCAGAAAGTTGTATCAGTTCCTTAAACTCCTTCTAGATCATTAGTTTCTCCCATATTCAAACAAAAAATGCTCTGAAAATGAGTGGGATGGGTATAGGCAGGACTTTAACAGCCTGAGAGAAAACTAGCAGCTGCATCCTTTGGCTGTAAGACGAGGAAAGTAAATCAGGCTGTCAGGTAAGCACAGGGCCCTAGTTCTGAGATGGGAAGGTGGGTGGGAGAGAAGTTGGAGAGAGAGCAACAGGATAAAACCAGTACTGGTAAAGACAGTCACAGATCTCATGAAAGTTCAAGCCAAGCTTCACAATACCTTGCTTAAACTGCATTTTCCTAATAAAATCGCCACCCAGAGGGGAAAAATAACACATTTCCAAGTGCATTTTGGGCCCTGTGCAGACTCATCCCTGTGGTAACTAAACTCCACCCTGTCCAGGGACCCCTCTGCCTTTTGGAACAAAAACATGAATAATTAATAACATTCTTTTTGAACCCCCTAAAGGTGAAGTGGACCCTTTGTTAGGGGCTGCCCTATCTGTGAAGCGGCTGATTTCATATCTCTTTCTTGGGACTGCCCAAGGGATAGCCAGAGCTGTTCCTTTTTATAATAAGCTATTTTATTTTAATCTAAAATCAGTCCATGTTTGATTTCCATCTAAAGTGGCTAGACTTCCTTCCCCTTTTCTCTTCCTTTTTAGCTAAAGCTTTTGCCTGAAAATTCATATTGTTGCCTAAGTTTTAATTTCCATTATTGCTATCCATGGATGAACTCTCCAGCCACATAATCACCTAGTTATGCCAGTAAGCTATCGATCTGATTGATCATCATCCACGAATTAATACAATAAGTACAAAATTCTCAGCACAGCACCAAGCATATAGGAATGGCTCAATCCTTAAACTATTATTAATTTTAGATTGTGAGTCTTTTCTCCAAGTGCCACCATCATTCTAGAATGAACTGTACCGTTGGACAATTCATACACGAGCACACTTTGGGATCCTAAAGTTGAATTATTCAATGATCTGAACCTCCTCTCCGTCTGGTCTAGATACCCCCTCACTGACCTGTGAGAGGATTCCTCCACCAGCGACGGCAGGTTCTAGCTTCCTCTCTAGCCTCTCTCTGAGTAAGAGCCAGGTAGGATGGGTAGCGTTATCAGAATCTCCTGGCTACAACACAATGTTACTGGGAAGCTCCTGGAAGAGCCTGACCGAACCAGAGCGACTCAATGTTGACCAGCAAATGACCTTGAGACTGTCGCTCCCCCCCATCCCTTAAAGGATAACTAATGATTAATTGTGAATTGTTAGGTAACTGCTTTGAAGTAGCTGGGAAACTAAATGGAAACTGTAGTGAACACAGAGACCCAACATAAATCATGCCATAATTGTAAATGGAACAATGGATAATCAATCTGCTGATCATTAGTACGTGACGGTCAAGTATATGCTTGATGACCACTAGCTCAGATCAACTGATTCTTTGCCTTTGTCCTCTTCCTGTAAGTTTTAAGTGTAACCCCCCCCCAGCCCTATATAAAATGGCCTCTGTTTCTGAGCTAGGCGCCTCTCTGAGCTACTTGGCTTGGGGAGTGCCATCTGGCCAGACTAATAAAGGTCTATTTGCCAACTTGCCTGGTGTGTTCCTTCCTGGGTGACTCTCGCTGTCCGACAAGATCCTGGAGCCTCGCTGAGCTTCTGAGCCCAGCATCGTGGAAGCCTCTTGGCTGTTCACGCTCCAGGAGTAAAAGTGAGACTTAAGTCTTACACTCCTTCTAAAAGTGGCTTGCCAAGTAAATATTACCGGGTTCTGGGTTGCTCGCCTTTCCCTCTGGAGTTAGATTCCAGATTCTTCTCATCTCGAACAAAGAAATGAACAAAATGAGCAAAAAGCAGTGGCAAGGGCGGGGATGTAGCTCAGTGGTGCGTGCCTGACTAGCAAGTGCCGGAGGCGGGGGGAGAGTAGCGGCAAAATTTATTTGAAAAAGTAAAAAACAAAGAGGGAGAGCGAGAAGCTGGTTCTGCAGAGCAAGCTTGGGCTGAGTAAAAGAGGAGAAAACAAGATTAAAGAATACCTCCGAAGCAAGCAGGGTGGGCTACTGTGGAGAAAGTCAGGATAGCAAGTTCTTCTTGGTGTCTGTGCCCTTCTATGCTGTCCAAATTTGGAGGAAACCTGCAAGAATGTCTACATACGGTCCTGAGATCGCACGTCTCAGGATGACCTCAGTTTCTAGGCCATTCTATGGACAACCTGCTGGAGTTCTCCCAAGAAGTCCAGGTGCAGGGCTTTGGGAACTATTCTGTGCTTGTCTTCTGGGATCTTTGTAATAAACAGGTCACACCCACTTCCCCAACCAGTTTTGCCACGCCCTAATCTCCTAGGTCAGTAGGGCATGAATTTCCGAAAGTACTAATCTGATCAGGTCTTTAGCAAGTTTGTAAACCATCAAGGCTCCCCTGGGGCTCTCAGCTCAAGGATAATATCCTGTCATAATTAAATGCACATTTAGAAATGGGAAGAAAGGAGCTAAAGGTGTAGGGAAGGTGGGATGAGTAGGGGAAGGGTAATAAGAGAAAAGAAAAAAATGTGAGAGAATGAAAAGATGGAAATAAAGTGTTTGTAGATGGGGAGGGGAGGAGGGGGTGAAGGGAGGGCAGGGACAAGGGGAAAAAATGAGAACCAAGACCTGTCATGTAGCGGTACAAGATCCCAACAATGAATGTAACTGTACTGTATCCCTAAAATGTACCAATAAACTCAGTTAAAGCTGAAAAAAAAATAAATGCACATAGATAAGGGATCTCACTATGTAGTTTAGGCTAGTCTGGAATTCTCACCAATCTTCTTGTCTTGGTCTCCTGAGTGCTGGCATTATAAACGTGCAACACTGCCCAGTTTATTTATCTATTTTTTAAATACTGAGGGTTGAAGTTAGAGCCTTCACAGTGAGCTGCATCTCCAGTCCTTTAATCTGTTTTTTGTTTTGTATTGTTTTATTAGTTTTTTGAGACAGGGTCTCTCTGTGTAGTTCAGGCTGACCTTGAATTCACTATGTAGCCCCTGCTGGCCTTGAATTCTCGGTGATCCTGTTGCCTAAGCTTCCCAAGTACTGAGATCCCAGATGTGTACCACCACACCCAGGTACTTTATTTTACTTTGAGATAGGGTCTCAGTAAATTGCTAAATTGCCCAGGCCTGGCTGGAATTTGGGATTCTCCTAACTCAGAGTGCTGTAATTACAGTTAAGTATTATCATGCACAGCTCTGTTTTCAGATTTTTTTTTTTTTTTTTTTTTTT